GACAGTCCTCGTTGGTCGGTTCCCAATCCCGTGGATCGATGGATGATCCGTTGGTAGGGTCGGGTGTCCGGCGTCCTCCCCATCCTCCTCCTGGCACCTCAAACTGCCGCTCCTCCACATCCAAATCCGGACAACCATCGTGTGGGCGTCATTGGCCGACAATTATGAGGCTGCGCGATCACAAACCACGCCGAATTTAAAATTCCCCATATCCGCTCGCAACTCGCATGATTCGAATTTCAACGCTCCTCTCGGCGGTCCAGGACGCTCCAACTGACTTCGAATCAGCGGCGAGCTCACCTTCGACATGACAAGGACCGAACGCCGTCGAAATCTAGGGCCCGCGACACGTGCTTCCTGAACCACCGTACCAAGTTCCCTCGCGACTACGGCTGCTCCTGCTCCGTAGGCACTGATGTGGCTCATTAACTGCGTTGGGATCCACGGACGAATGGCCCGCGAGGTACGACTGCGCCGTGGCGACGATCCGACATCGATCATGAAACTTCGCCGCAGTTCGGCGTTGTACTAGAGTTACCACGTTTTGCAGACCGAGCGAGCACGTTCCCGGTCGGCGGACGAACATTCATTCCGCTCCAATCATGAAGCCCTTTCGTAGCCATCGATCTGGCCTCGAAGCATTTGGACAGAGATGCAGCGCCGGTCATCGATGTACATCGTACGGGATGACGGCTGGTCTGTACATGGGAGATAACTTCGTCGTAGTAGTTACCGGGTCGGGTCCTGCCACCTCTTTCGGTTCACGTGGTCGTTTCCAGCGTCCGGTACAGTTCGAGCTCTCGCTGGAAGCTTTCCACCACCACGCAACTGGGCGACAGGCGAATTGATGCTTTTATTTCAGCGCCCATCGTAGAAATTGCTTGCGCTCAACGCAAGTATGAGAATACATAACTTTGACTGGTTCATGAAAAGTATCTCATAATGCTTGTGCAAGTTAAGGTACATCAGGTATACCTGGACTATTGAGATTACACTCTGTAATTTAGAATGCTCTAGAAGGAGAGTTGACTTCAAAGTGAAACTACAAGACTCATAGTAATGGGGGTAAACTTAAAGCTGAATTTGAGTCGTTTAATTGGCGTTATTATTGTTGGTTTTACCCAGTATCATAACATTGTGGATGAGCAAGTTTTCTCACGATCTACCACACCTTTTTTGTGCCAGTCTCATATTAGAATGTGGGACAAAATTTTCTTCTAGCTTTAACAAAGTTACATAATGGATTATTGGTTTTAGTAAGGAAAAATATGTATGTATGTATTGTATACTGTAAATGTCATATAGTAACTAAAATACCCTTTTAAGTACCTTATGTACTTTTTATTTGTCTTGCTTTTGTTAATGGCTTTTTTATTATTATAATTTCTTGGAATTTTATGAAATATTTCCTTAGATGCTAGATTAACTTCACAATCACAATTCACATCTCTTTGTACCAATTATTAGAACTTACTTTTATCAACCTGATCTATATTCTTTTCTCATTATGAGTTTGTAATAATTTGGATGAATTTCAGAAATTTGGGTTTGGTATCTTAGCAAAAGAGCTGCATTCCTTTCCTATACAACGTCAAATGTGATATCTTCCTCCGGCCAAGAGCTAAGAGTGAGCCTCCACGCCTTCATATGCATTGTACTAATTCCTCTTTGCCAATCCCAAGTTATGCATTCTTCTTATCTAGCGTTCTTGTTTTGTTTTTAATTCTTCGTCGATCGAGAATTATCATAACACCACCCCTATCCTGGATCCAAAGCAGGAATCCAACATGGAGACTCAGTCTACACCCTCCGAGTGACCTCACACAAACAATTTGATTAAGTGTCAAAATTCTTTCATCTGGAAGAATTTTGACACGTATAATCATCGCAGGTTTCACAGGATAATGCTGAGTTGACTATTCTCCTCATGCGAAACAAGAGCGAAAATCGAAGATGGCCATGGTATCAAAATATTTCATATCGGTCAGAGTTATTCTTCCTCTGTTCCCTCCAATTTCCAGATCTTCACACTCAATAAAGTTCCATCGTTGCCATAAGTTCACTCCGAATCAACGTCGTCTATTTTAAAATATTATCTTTTATTCTATTTCCTGGTAGTACCTTGTGCAAACCATGTGGAAATAATTTGTGAGAAATTTGTTCGTTTGTGCAGTTGACTTCCACACGAAAACAGCAGAAACTGCCAACTAAACAGCAGAAACTTCCTCGTTATGTGGTTCCCGGGGGGTTTGATACTACAATAGAGACAACCTGGAATTCCATGTCCAACATTAAAATATACACCTAAATTGCGTCTTACTGTCCATTCTAATTTAATACATGTATAGAGTTGTGCACTTCTGGAAAAAAGAGCTCCGCCCGTTACCGCTCATCCAAGCGAGGGCCCCGAAAAACCATAATCCGCATAGCATGCAAGGAGGAGCTCCTATTTTCCATTATGATCAAAAGGACCTCATGAACCATGAGCACGAGAGGCGAAAGAATGTCGAGCAAACAAAGATTTATTGACGTCATTCGTATGGGAAAAAGTCGCGGAGAAAATTAAAGATAACCCGAGAGCTTGTGGCTTCGCGAGCTGCGTGAATATAGACGACGAGAATGTGGGGACCTCGAGAGGGAGTGGATAGATAGCATCAGATGAGCCCTGGTGGCCTACAATTATTGCCAGGAGGGCCTTTCATAGCGCTCGGCCGATCGGAACCCGCGAATCATCGAACAGATAATTAAAACATAAAAGTTTGTCCGTATGGGTCGCGGGGCCTCTATTCCGACCTACGGTAATAGGTCTAATAAAAAAATAAAAAGGACGACCAGATACTTGCACCTGAAAAGCATATTGGCTTGGAATGGGGGGCATGGATACGCAAAGGTTGTACAACCCTTTCCCTGTCGTACACATCGCGTGAGGATATTACTCAAAACTCCTAACCTCTAGAACTAGTCCCTCAAAAAAGGTCGGGCAATTATAAGCCCCATGTACATTTCATCACTATGAATTTTTCCTTCTATTCGCATGCGCTCGCATATTTGCCCGCACGCGGTTTTGCTAACTATCTAGATTTGCGCCACAAAATGATTTGGTACTTGTATTTGATTCTTGTATTTTCGTTTGCATTCGGGTCGGTTTCCTCTTGTCTTTGTTGGCCTCGTTTTGTCTCGTATCTCCTTCCATGGTTTCGCATCACGTTTTTTTTCTGTGAGTTTGGCTTTTTGCAATGTGGATTAGACATGTTTAAGTTTTTTCAATCAATCCCGCATGAGGAGAGACAAATTAGACACGTGGTCTATAAAAATATGTTAGATAATAATTAAATATTAAATGTATATATGAAAGCGTTTCAAAACCCAACAAAAGTCGAACACAATGACGAAAGATCAAGTTGTCAACCACTCTCAAAACATAGAACTACCCTTTCAAACAAAAGTCTAAGGTTTTCGATATGAAAAACGAATTGTAATATCATGCAGATCAACGTGAGAATCATCATACAGTCAAAATTCTTTTTCTCCTCCAAGTAGGCTCATCATGTTTTGTAGCAACGGCATATATTTTTATGAGTTTCTGATAGAATGATTTGGCTTCGTTGTTATTCTTGTTCTTGAATAAGTTAACACACACCCAGCCCTTTTCAAATAGAAGCTGCCAATATATCATTAAAAACTCTCCGTTTATTATAAAATAAAATCATATGAAGAATTTTTAAAGGGGATATATATATATATGTATATAATATGACATGAAAAATAAATCTTTAGAATATAGAAAAAAAATTCTTTGATATGTGAATTGTATATATTGATTTAAACTCCAATAAATATTTTATAATGAATAGATTGTAAATAATTTTTTAAAAAAATAATATCATAATATTTTGTTATATTTTTTATCATATGATTAAGAATTTTTCTCTTTTTCAAGATTTGAATAAAAAAAATCCGTTTTGATTCAATTTTAAACAGATGAAGCATTTTTCCCTATCTTCTTAGTTCTATGTTTGGTATTAATTATTTCATTGAAAATAAAAGGCGATCAGGTAAACTGCAGAAATTATGATGCTATGTAATAATGATGAATTAGATGGAAATCAGGATGTTAGGATACAGTTGGGTGCACCTATATTCAATCATAAATAAATACCAAAATTTTAAGAAAAATTAAGCATGTACAAGGTATTGTGTAATCCTTCATATAATAAACGTACTTATAGTTTACTAAACTTATTCTGTAAGATTTCTTATACTTATCTTACAGAATATACAAATCTTCTACTAATAGTTGACACGATTAAATAAATTTGCGTGAACACCCAGTCTAAATTCTGCAGCCCTTGACATGCTGAAATAAATATCTCATGTGCTTATTTGCAATCTAGATATGTCATGTTTGTGTGAATGTAAATATTAGATGTCACTTTTTCATCACAAGAGAAATAGTTCCGACTTCAGAACTAATTTTACACAAGTTAGCGAGACATGGATAACTTATTACTGCACAAATTCTGGATAGGTCGGAATGAAAAGTCATTATCGATCAGGCTTTGAACTCTCAGCAGGGTTTCAGATAAATGCAGACCCTAGAGCTGGAATACTCCCAAGGTATTACTGTTGCACGCGGGGTCTTCCCTTTTTGCTCTATACTCGTTGGTGGATTACATTTAGTGACAGTCTGAAAGGCAACAGAGGCCCAAAGACTATGAAGGATGTTACTCGAAATAAATCTATTTTATGAAAAAAATATGATGAGAACTCTGACAGAAAAAGGAGACTCCGAGGTACAACAACTTTGATGACAAATATATCTGAAGGAAGCGGTGTGATCACTGCCAAGGCTATACAAAAGACATAAATCTAGTCAATATAATTCATGCGACATAGAGATAAAGAACCAAGCCCGTTTGGAGTAAATAAGGTGCACACGTAATCGTCGACGAGAATAAGAATTCCATGCTGGAGAATGTGAACCTCGTTGAGTGAGGAATGGGAGGACGAGACCTCGAGGTCCTTCGAGGGGGTCAGGGAGCAGTTGAAGAGCCATGGCAGGGCAGCAATCATTTGGAGCGTGGAACGGAATAGCCCAGAGGATCCACAGTTCCTAATTCCCCCTCGTTGGCGATGGAGGGGGAACGAAAGGGAGCGGAGTCGGACGAACGATGCCGAACTTGCCCCGCACGCTTCCTCCGTAGCTGGCTGACAACGGGCGCACGGACCCCCATTCCTTCCCCCCCCCCACCACTCGGCCGGCCTTCCGAACGTTGTGAGTGCGGGTGGCGCTGGATACTCGGCCTCGGCCATCGCAGTCGCTCGTCCCCCCTGGCTCTGAGTTGTCTCGAGTGCGGTACAATAACGCTCCGGGAGTTGGTATGAGGATGCATCAGTGAAGGGAGAGGGGAGAGGGAGGGGGTGGGGCCCGGGGGTTCAATTCGGGGCCGGAATTTGGACCTCGACACTTGTCTGCGTTTCTGGTGGTCGGCCCTCGATGGAGTGATTGCATCCGGTTGGTGGAACGAGCAGGAACCTGAATTTTTCTCTGAGAGGTCGCGAGAGCTTCTGAGAAAGGTTGTTGGAGCGTCTGGCCAAGCGTTCGCTCGGTTGGCAGCAGCATCGGTCGTAGCGATCGGCCGTGTCTTTCATTTTCTCCCCGTCGTTCGCTTTCATCTGCCCCTGTTGCGGCTTTTGCTGCTCCAGGGTTTGGACTCGTCTTCTGACCTGCCCTTGCTCAAATTCGTTAGGTGAGAAACTTACCGTCCAGATCTGCCATTGAAGTCGTGTTTGATAGTTTGCCCTTTCGCCTCCCCCCTCTGACCTTCCTGAAAATTCAACTTGCATTGCAGTTTCATGATGTTCTGTTTATTTCAATTGTTTAATTTGTTTATTATTTTTCATTCTAGTCGCTTGTGACAAGAGAACTTTGAATGGAGCTCTCTTAAAAGACACTGGATTTAGATAAATATGAACCTAACTTGCTGATAGCATGCCGATCAGAGCTAGTAGTGCCTGACAGTTGTTTGGTCTCTAGTAGAGAGTCTGGCAATGACGATGCTAACTAAGTTTTTCTGCTTAAGCTGATCGAGAGCACTCGACCAATCACTGAAACAATCTTTCGATGACCTTTATGTGAATGATCATTTTTCGCTGTGCCTTGGGTGCAGTTTGTCATTTTCATGATCACTTTGCTCATGTAGACTTTGAATGGTCGGAAAAGTTGTACGCACTATCCACTTAAGTCTGGATACTCATGAAGAGCTGGAAATGCACTGCGATGTTGCTTTCCAGATCTTCACGTTGCTGAAGCCATTCTGTTCTCTATTTTTCTTGAAATTGAACTTGCATTTTTCTGTCTACCTAGTCTCTGTTCAGTGCATCCTGCACCTCGTTTCTACTTCTATTAATTGTTTGGAATTTCAGAGGCTTCTAATTTCGTTTTTGTATTTGTAAGTTCCTGTATTATACCACTCCAATACACCACAACCCGGTGGAATAACAATTGCAGCCTGTGTGCATAATCAACTAAACTGCACGAAGACTTCTGAAGGCATGAACAAGTCCGATTTGTTCATTAAAGTCCTGCTTTGTGAAGTTTTTCGCATGGGGGAACTCTCACAGATTAGCCCTTTTCCTTTGTGATGAGACCATAATTCAATTGCCATAATTGAGCCATTGTCTCCTCTGTAGGATTCGTATTTGGTTTTCTGCAAACCAAGCTTGTCCTGCGTGGTATGTGTATTGGTTTAAGAACTGCTTATTAGTGCTCCGATTGCAAAGCCCCTTGTGATTATTCGGGGCATGGAAAGCGTTGCTCATGGTGGTGCCGTCATAGCAGCGGCCTAGATAACAGTTCTTTAGTAGAATTCCATTTAGTTCTCTCCTCATTGTCTGGAAGAACCATCAACATGAAGATAGTTTGTTGAGGTAACACATAAAACAACCACTCCATTTCACAAGAATTATAACTTGTCTAAAAACTCAAATTTTGATTAGTGCATCGAGTTAACTAAACACAGAAGTTCAGTGCTCAGAATCTTAATAGACTTGTCAGACAATGCTATCAATTCAATCCATTTGAAAACATACTGCACTATGATCAACACGTATCATTGATGGTAGATAATCAATAACAAAGATCTTGCATAATTGTTCCTTCATGGAAGCTCTTCTGCATTCCTCAAGCAGTGCAGTGTATTGATACCTAGGTTTGACCTTGTCTCTGATTCTCTTGAACCTTTCCTGGTGGCGCAGTAAGCCATCAGAAAAGGCTTACTGCGTGCTGCATAAGTTCTGCATAATTCGCTCTACCTCTTTGCTTCACCATTCACATCATTAAACTGCTTCAAATCGTCTAGATATCTCGGCATTCCTTTTTCTTAAGCAGTAAATCTACACCTGAAATCAAGGTGGAAGTGATAGGGTGCGGTCTGAATTTCCTCCCTTCGTCCAAACATTTCACTTCAAATGCACGTACAATATGAAACAACTGCTACCTCAAACCCAACCCAGCCAGGCCACGAAGACGACTAGTCTGAACACGATATATAGTTCTTCAGATGTCTCTGGCAAATCCAGCTTAACCGACAGAATTCTTGGCAGAGCGTGAACAAATCGTTCGAGAAAGCAAACTACAAGTAAAACATACCAGAATGTGAGATTGGTCATAATGAGTATAGAAAAAACTGTTGATAGTTTAAGAAGAGGATTCGGAGCAGAGAAAATGTATGTATTACTTTGATGTACAGTTATTGTATGCTGCTCTTAGTTTCCAATAAAACATATTGGAATGCATTTTCGTACATTCTAAGCTTCTACTTGACAACAACATGAAATCGTCTTTTCTCTTTTAGGACGCGATGTCGTCTTCTGAACTGACAGTCGAAGCTGCTCAGCTGGCATGCCTGAAAGCAGTTGTTGGAGATACAATGCCAGAGCTCATCTGGAATACGAATGATGAGAATGAAGAGAATGAAGAGAACGGAGGCGACGATGAGTTGCTCGACTTTGTAACGACCGAGATTTGGAATGCTGATGTTCTCCAATCCTTGCCACTGGAACAAACGGAAGAGATGACGAGCAAGCAGCGCAGGACCCATCTGCAAAACAGCTCCAGTCGGCTCGCCTTGGCTGTGAGTCAGAACCTCAGAAGCCTGGGCTGCACCAAGGACGACGAGGAATCACTTGCAGTCTGCACAAATGTCATTAAAGAATGGTGGAAACAGGTAGAAGTACATGATGAAGAGGAGACTGCCCAGGGAGGCCAAGATGAGGACGAGGAAGCAGATAATGATGATGATGAAGATGTTCCACCAGGCCATTGCGTCATGTGCCTCCGTTATATGCCCTTGACCTTCCATCACCTCTGTCCACGCATGTTGCACAAGGGAATGCTGAAGAAGGGGATGTACACAAAGCAGAACATAAACGACGGTATTGACATCTGCAGACCTTGTCACAGCGCCATACACAAGCTCTTCGATCACGAGACGATGGCTCTGAAGGTCAATACCCTTGAGAAAATCCTGGAGGATGAAAGAGTCCAACGGTGGGTGCGATATGCGGAGAAGCAGCGAGTGGTGAGCAAAGACCACACCATCAGAGGCCTTCGGTACAGACGATGATTGTTGTGACCATACAACTTCCAGTTTTTAATGCACTGCAAGATGCTTCATATCGACCCTCTGGTACCTCAATAAGGTGCAGTGTTCACCATTGCATTCTGCTCCTTATCACAGCGATCTCACTTCCAGCATTTGATGCTTGAAGAAAGCAAGTAGCTGGTAAGTAGTTTCGAGACTCTGCATTCCTTTTCTTGTTTGTATTCGTCTGGGTAGTCCTGAATCTTGTTTCCAGCATCTAAAGCAGGTCAGAAGAAACTGCTTTTTAATTGCAAATGTTTTCTCTTGGGTTTATCCTATTTAGGAACACTGAGGTATAAGGACCAGAACAAGGAAAAAAAATCAAATATAGGAAGAAATGAATGAGAACTAGACTGGATCATGCTGGACCCTCTATGGAGGGCTTGTACTCGGTGCTCCTCCTTAAGTTCACAGCTCGAGACAGAGTGGTTGCCAGCTTAGACACTGCAGAATCTGCTAGGAAATATCTACTGAAGCACTCGACAATCAGTCAGTTATGTTACTTACTTAGCTCTCTCTTTCCCACAGGTTGTTGGCAAATCAGGCGAACTCAAATCATCCAAACATTGAAGATGATCTGAGTGAAATGACTCTCTGTTCGTTGGTCACCTTCTTTACAATGATGGCAGCAGGATTATCATGGAGTTTCTTAAATATATGCTGCCTGAAGGTGCTCCTTGTTCTGAATCCAAGTTAGAAAGAATAGAAGGAACGAAGCCGCTGTTGTATTCTAGCCGCATCATGTTGCTATTGATGACAGAGCTCAGAAAAGCATGTGCGACCGCATCTTCATGTCTCGCAAGATCCGTAGCTAGTGTCTTTATTCGTGTTTTCCTGTTTCCATAGAAGGCACTGGGGTTACCAGTGTTTTGTATGTCAAGTCTGAGCGACAAGACTGCAAGGGTCCATGATTCTTCTCCTAGAGCAAAGGGACGATGGTTTTCTGCGTAGTCACTTGTATACTGAGTGCAGAGTTGAAATTGATCTTGAAGTTTGCGTGAGTATGTGAAGGCCTCCTTACCTTGCTGTTTTTTGCAACCTTACGTTGACGATCCTCGTTTCTCAATGAAAGGAACAAGTAACGAAGCAAACTCAGCTCCAGCTTCAGCTCTTTGACTGTGGTCAGGTCTTGTTTTCAAGCTCAGACTTGGCACACCTTGAGGCAGCCCCTGGTGTCTGAAGTGACTTGAGACCCGTCTGCTTTCAAGCCTGGCTCAAGGGATGGAAATAGTGTAAGACTCTAAGATTCAAGGTGAATCACTCTAAGATGAAAAACAAGTACCAAAGCACATGGAGACTGGATCTGGTCCTTGTGCTTCTACATACAGAGTTCTAGATCCGAGTTGTGACATATAGTGGTACCTAGTCTTAATGTCATTATTGCGAGGATGACTGTCCATAGGAGTACCTAATACTAACACTAATATGGAAGAGTACTGGTGATCAACCTCTGTAGTTGTGGTGGTATCTTCTAGTTCTCTACCTTGGATATCAGTGTTCTAACTTTGTAGCCTCTATGTCGCTAACTATAGTGTCTTATATGAAGAGGAGAAAGCAATTGGATTTAGAAACCAAGTTTTACGTCCTGCAATTATTGTAAGAGCCATGCATCGCAACAGAGAAAGTCGTTCAGAGTTTTGCCCGACATCGATCGAGATTGCGAAGGAAAGGAAGATAATCTCTGATGCGTCGTCATTATCGGAATCAATGTACCGGTGAAAAAATAGCACCAACCTCGAGGCTACATATGATCATTAAAATGGTGTAACAGTACCTCCTGCGAGTTTTAGTCGATGTTTTAGGCCTCAGTGACCATAATGCAGAATTTTAAAACAAAAGCATTGTGCATGTGTGACACGATTTTGGAGTTCTACGTCAACGCTCGTACAGCTGTTGAAATCACTGCGCTGGATGCATTTGTTAATTCAAATGAATGACTCGAGAAGTACTCACATGGCGCTGTGACATCGGATAGAATAACACGTGGCGAGCATAGTTCTGGAAGTCCATAGGAGGTGCAGAGGCGGTTGCAAGACATCCGGGAAGTTTTGAAGATGTTTTGCGGGATAACATCTTGAATACTGAAGAATCTGTTACGAAAGCTTTGTGATCATATTGCATGCGGGATAGTTATTGTCATGAATGCGATGGGTAAAAATAAAATGCATTTTATTGCATTTTATTGACAATAACTATGCCAAATAGTTGCATCGCATTTCACTTTTCAACATTTTACTAAAATGCACGCACGTAAAAACTGGTCGTTGTGTATCACAGAAGCAATGATTCTGAATTCTCATGGCTACTCTGATTCCAGCTTCAGCGTGGAGAATTTTCTTAAGAATCTTGCCTTCGAAGAAACATCTCTTCTTACCTTTAAAGAAATTGCCTAATCTCAATCCAGTTGCCGTCCAACCTGTTGTCGGTACAGGCATATCGGTAGATATGAAGGCATGGAATGAAATTCACTGGAAAAACCATCAACAACAGTACATAGCAAAGCTAAGATTTAAAAATCACTTCCAAAAGAAAAAGAGAGAGGCCATCTTTCTCAAAAAAATTCTTCCTCTTAACTAAATGATAAATAACAATGTGTTCAACTGAACCCACTGATGTCATTCAAATGCAAATCATAATCAGCTGGGGTACAAAGAATATGTTGAGACAGATGTCAGTGCAGGATGGTTGAAGGATATATGTGTTTCAGATGAAGAGTAATATGCCTTCTGTAGAGAATAGTGCAAGATTCGCTTTTTTACCGGTGTGCTAGGAATTTCAAACAACCTACTGAGACAGGTATTGATTTCATGCATGTGGAGGCTCACCCAAGGCCCGTTGAAATCTTCACTCCGGCTACCGGATTCAGAGCCCAAAATACTTACTAACAATAAGATTAAACTCGCCTAATTGTTAGGGTCAGAAGAATCTTTTCCCTTTTATTCAGCCTACGATCTTGAATGCTTTTCCTTCATCATTGAGACCATACTCTACAAGGCATGTGATAATTTATAATCCCGTTGACAGTTTAAGTTTCCAATGTATATTCAGTCGAATTGGTTAAAAAACATTTGATAGTTTTGTGTGATTAGATAAATTTCCTCATCCTCTACTACTTGACCAGACATGATCCACGCACAACAAATGTTTATTTGAAAATATGCAGTCGTGACGTTGATTACGGGGATAAAGAAATATTGACAATTCATCCCCGCACATTTCCAGTTTCCTAGGAGGTTTATACAGAAAGAGGCAATGGAAGAGGCTTGCTTGCTCCCATAGTTGTCCAATTCGGATGTGCTCCAAGTAGTTAATCTGAATTATGGGTGACAGCGTGGTTAAGTTTCAAAAATAAAGACTGGGACACCTTTACAGCCTTCAATGTTTCCTGTTTCCACACAATATGTGCTAGTGCTAGCACGAATCTCGATGGCGAAAGTCTCACAGTCTACTCCTCCCTGCGATCATGTTAGGAGAATGTGGACATGTTTCCACCAGTAAGCCACATATCACCTCACGAAGCCAGATGTACAGAAAGAGAACCAAACCTCCGAGTATCAGATATTTACTCCAATGAAGAAGAAACAGGAGAGCAGCCTCCAACCTTGGCTTACTAAGAGCATGTGCCTTGAGGCATATCCAAGAACTTGAAAACCTTGCTGTACTGTTCTTCCTCATCTCCTCACCTACTGTACAGCAGTTCTAGCAAGACTATTTTACAGAATCGCAGTATGAATTTCCAGAATATACCCCTACTTCCGTCATCTTACGATCAAGAAAAGGTGGCAAGAACTGAGATCGTGCTTGCGAGAGCTTCAACTTGTTCCCACAAGGACACACTGCTGTAAAGACTGCGCATTGAGCAAAATTTGGGCGTAGAGCTGATTTTCTTCAACCTCTATGGGTTGCTTCAAAAAATTGTTTTATTCGGTGAATTACAATGATACAAAGTAAGGTGAAAGGGATAAGTGATGGAGTGAAAAGCATAAAGCAACAGCAATGCTCTAAAATATGCACAGCTATTGCAACGGGGTTGACTTGTTTGAAAAGACTTCTATACAGCTCAAACATTGTGCAAACCCACAATCTTCCATGCTTTTAGTTTAACCAACGACTTGAATCTCGGTCGGCTGCAAAATCAGGAGCTGCAGACATCCGAAGCTATCTCCATCCTCTTGTGTTATTTAGACTTCCAACTTTTGTATTATGCTTGCTCGATCAAATCTGAAGTTCCGGAAACTGAGTCCTGGAACCTCTGTCGAGCCATGCACCAATTGAATTATGTCACTTGAAGATGACGAGGACTGCAAGGGTGCCGTGGGAGGAGCCAATATTCCCGCCCCACTCGAACTACTCGAAACAGCATTGGGTTTCACCTTCCAGACTGTGGTGCCTGATAAGATCAACACAAGCAAAGATATTACTACCACACTGCTGCTGAATGGTAGTGCATAGATCCGAAGACTATCTGGTTATTGCTCTCATCAATCCGCTCTATTCACTAAACGTTTTAGACGAGAATTCGTATAGAAACCTTGTCTACAGGATAACAGCAGAAGACTTGGAGCACGGTTGTACATGCAGAACTGGACAGGTTTACGAGACATAGCATCAGCGAACTTCACTATTCGTAAAAAGTAAACCTGACTGAGTTTGGGATGTTTGATAGCAAAATACACAGAATCCTTCATGTGCGTAAGGATATTTAGTGATGTAAATGTACAGAAATGCCTACACAAACTCACTTGAGTATTTATAAGTGGGAATTTTGGGTATGGTATGCACTAAGTTCACATGTACACAGCTGAACAGAAGTAAAATCTCACTTGATTTACCAAGGCCACCCAATACTTCCGACACTTCATTTCGATCAAGATAAGTGCGGACAGAAACGGACGCACAAGATTAAGTACACGCACATGAATATCACCTGTTCTATGTGCTTCTATGACTTACAGCTGTCCGCGTAACTGCAAGTCATCGAAGCATAGAGGACACGTAGTACTCAATAGGTTAGCACTTAAACCAAGTCATCAAAGCGCTTACGTATTGTCTCTAATACCAAGCAGTCATCTTGATTCCCATAATCGACACCAACTGATGGAAAAGCATGTTACCTCTGATTAATGATTCTGACTTCAAGGCAGCAGAAGGCCAGTGTTCAGATATCCAGTTTTTGAGGGGCCTGCAAAACATTGATGGATCAAATCATCACACTGGACGGGCCTCCATGCACTATGAAGGTCGTCTCGAAAAACGTCAATTCACTACATGTGAAGCAACTACAACTTGAAAAAATATATTGTTTCAGCAAACGCAATTGATTTCCAATTAATCAAGCTAACTTTCAAGGTATGTATAAGAGCCTTTACCCTACAAATGGCCACACCATAAAATACTTCATTCCAGTAGGTCCTCGATTATGTGATGATGTTTCATTGCTGGCCACAGGAAGCTCATCAACTCTGTGCCAAGCTATTTCCTGAACCAAGAAGACTGAGCATGAGGAATCTCACAAGTTCATCGTAATATCTTAGAACTGGGAAAAGGTTGAAACTTTTCGTAGCAATGCTTTACATCTAAATATCTCAGCAACCAAGTACGAAGTAAGCTTTTCCTGGCGTCACTTTAGACTTTCACTTCTCAAGATTCCAGGATTGATATTTCTGATTCCTCTTCCTCCCCAAGTCGGTCGATACGCATATGTAGTATAAAGTCTGGTCAATCTCTAAGTCTGGCACAGCATGCATGGGCAGGAACAAGACTTACACTTATTTCCTTCTTCGTCTGAGGTGCAAACTGAGTACCTTCCTTAACTCCAGCTATAATGTACAGCCGCATCCTCTGTTGACCTATTACCACTTCTAAATATTCTTCCACTTGTAACCTCTCTGTTACATCAAATCCTGTTTCTTCCCAAACCTGTAGAGAGAAGGACAGATTACTTTCACGAACGAAGTATATGGATGCTAGTGACCAATTCCTCACAAAGCCGCAACACTTCCTGTAAGACTACTCATAAAACAATCCAAAATTCAAAATTGATCCGCTAAAAACACACCTCTCTAACTGCACATTTGTGATCCTCTTCATCTTTATTCTTCTTGCCTCTAGGAAAACTCCAGCTTGCTCCAGGTTTCCAGCCTTTCACGAGCAGACACTGCAAGGACCACACACAACTCCGTCAGAACACGCATCTTCAGAGAAGATCAGAACAAAACTCAAAGCTCCTGAAATCATCTGTCCACCTTTCAGAATTTTAGAGCAGTATAAGCACTACGAGACTGCAGAGAGCAAGTAATCAGAGTCCAGATTACGGCAAGCTTATCATGGGACATACCCGCTCGTAGGACTCATCCAAGATTATGGCACCAGTAACAGGCACGCGAATCTTGTAGGTTGTGAAGTCCTTGTAGATATCATCAATCTGTGAAATGTATGGCCGCAGTGCGACACAACTTTGGAACACTGTTCTTGGTCAAGGTGTAGACCATCAGCACAGTTGGTAGCCAAATGGGAAGCAAGCAAAGCATTTGACATTTGAACTGATACAGCAGCAGATTACAAGACTCCTGCGGATTCCACGATACATGCACTAGCAACTGCAGGCTATTACTATTAGTTGCAGTCTACTGAAGACCTCTCATCGTACTGAGCTAAAGCAGACACGCTGTGAGGATACTTAAAGAAGTAAACTCCCGAAGTGTCAGAGACTTCAGTGTGACATTCTGCTCCATTGTATTATCCTCATAGAACCAATGAGCTTGCTCCACGAGAAACAGTATTCTTTCGAAAGACTGAAGCTCTTCCTCGGGAGCATTTAAAACAAACCGACTGCACAAACACGTTGCATGGTAAGTACAATTGCTCAAAAACACTACACTTAGACAGTCTCTTAGACTGATCGATATCGATGGCAAAAGCCACAACGATCAGCGCCTCGTGAACTCTGTTTCTCATATAAGACTAACACCGCCTGCTCGTTCAATTTGGTCAACTTCTATTCAGAAAACCGGGATTTTAGTCAGGGCTTCAAATATTCACCTGCATAAATCATCCAAAAGCTCTTGCGACGGAAGAGTGGATCGCTGCGCACGCGCGTTGCCGGACATCGTCGATACCTAGCTCGTCCTTCGATTTTCAATTCTGTTCCGCACAAACAAGACGAGTGAGCTGCAGCAACCATGCATAATGGGAACAGCACGCAGGTCGAGCGGACCCACTCGCCGTATTCGAAAACACCACACAACCTTCCAGGAACCAAAAGTCGTCCGAGGCCCCCATCCAGAGCTCATCTTCGGACTCACTAGAAATCATCGACGCCCACAACGGACAAACGACAACACCTTCCCACAAACGCTTCCAAATCAATTTCGGCCGAAAAAAACGGAACTAACGAACGAGCTGCGCTTCGAGCCTCCGATGCCAAAAGTACCATTCTCATCAAAGTGGTAACCACCGACGGACAACGCAATAACAGAAAATCACCTCAAACCCCGGTGTACAAATTGAAAACGACGTAACCCATTCTTTCACCGAAAGAGCAACCAACCGCGAGCAGAGAAAGGGGAAGGGAAAACCAAAGCCTCAAAGCAGCGCGCGACCTGACAAACCTAGTATCCGAGCGCAACATGAAAATCGACGAATTCCCTCATCCCGACCCCGACGGCGCCAACACCAACAACGAAGATCGCTGAGCAGCTCGCGCGACCACTCCGCTTCCCAAACTCCGAGTCCCGAAGGAAAGGAAAAAGCGCGCAGCGCAATCGGCGTGGAGAATTCAAAAATCGGGCGAGGGTGTGAGTCCAAAATCTCGCTGCTGTCGGTGTGGGAGAATAATAATTGGTCGCGGTGTATTTGACAACCCTAGGCTGGGCTCACCATCTTCTGCATGAAAACACCAACCCCATGAACGCTGTCTGCGCGCTCCCGGCGTCATGTCGTCGTCCCATACGCTTCGTAGCATCCGACGGCCCCGTCTACAAGCATACAACGAGACTCGTATGCGGTACACTCTTCATGTACATACCCTCGTCCTCGTCGTCGTCATCGTCGTCAGTCAGTCTGTCGGTAAACTCTGACTACCCCTTCCTTCTTCTGGCCTTAAACCCACAATTCGTCAATAATCTCTCCCCATCTCTCTCTCTCTCGCTCCTGCTTTTGGCTCATTGACAGCCTCTTCGTTGCTTTATAGGTCGGGACGTCGCCACCGGATTTGGTTTGAATGCTTCGCAGGATTTTGGGCTTACACACCTCCACTGTTTTGTTTGCATAGAGCAGTTTTTTTACCTTGACAAGGGGGGGTTTTGTCAAAAGTATTATTATTTTACGATAATGTGGTGTTCTGTTATCTGAGTGCTCGCGACATTGGACCTGACCGCTTGTTTTATTTGGTCTTCTTGAATTGGGGTCGAAGAATAGTTTAGTCATTTGGAGACCTTGTTCTTCTGTTCGATTTGTTTCAAAGTTTATGCTTATAGGAAACTTCCAACTTTAGCTGCAGTATTACCACTCTTTTTTGAATACTGTATATTTATTTCAATTAGATTGTATCTATTCTTATTCAATGAGCAAGAGTGGTGCAAGCAATAACACAAGAAACATATGGGGTAGTTTTTGTTGGATGATGCAAAAATATCACTTACACCTGTTGATCTATTGGGCATTATGACATCTTTAGCACATTTATATTTTATATTAAAAATAAATAACTAAAATTAAATCACTAATATTTATCTTAATTATTTATTGAAATTTAAGTTTAAATATTAATTTTGAAATATATGATACAAATTAAAAAGATTGAAAAAGTGATTTTCTGTTTTCATTGTCATGAACCAGTAGAGATAAATCGTGAATTAAATGTGTTGAAATTATTGTAAATATTTGTTTTCATAACAAAAGAGTACATAAAGATCATAGTTTTAAAACACATTCATTTTGTACAAAATTTAATATGCACTTTTATATCAAGAAATAATAAAAATGATATACTCAGTTGTTAACATATAAATATTTTATATTGTAGTATTTAAAAAATATGGTACAAGTAAGTTATTGCTTGTCATTGAAGCTGTAAGAATAAAATCTCTCTTTATGTGAGATAAACATATATATACTCAATTATATCTCGGTTCAAACAACAAGAACGTACATTTTCACCTTGTAAATTCTTTAATAGTTGCATATTTTAATCAACTTCAATTTTCAAATGAAAATTTAAAATATTTATAATAACTAAAATAAGAAATTTATTGTAAATTTTATACTATTAGTAGGAAGCGGTTAGTTATTTCTCAATTTATGCTAATTATAATCCACTTAGCAAGATTTAAACGTTTTTCAACGATTTCAATGTTGATTCCATAACTTTTGTCACGGATCAAGAATTTGCAATGATAAGCGCGTTGGATGCGTTGATTCTATACGCTTATATGTTGTTGTGCCGTTGGCATATCAACAAAAACATATTTGCAAAACAGATGAGTAACTTTAAGACTGAAGAAGATTGGCGACAGTTTTTGGGTGCTTTGAGTGTACTGGTTAGTTTGACGATCATCGAAACATATGATTTACAACTTATTACTATGTGCAACAGTTTTTTGAGAGTTCCCATTATTTACATTGAAGATACATTCCTAAGCAATTTTTATAGTTTTGTAAGATGAAAGATATTCAGTATAAATCTAAAGATAACTAGCCGTTACTTAATAATATTATGTATATATAACGATTAATAGGTATATAAAATAATTATTTAATTTTGTTTCATATATAATAATATATAAATTAAGAATTTTTTTAATATTTATAAATTTTATATAAAATATGATTTTTTAATATATGAAATAGAAATAATAATAATTTTTTAAAAATAAATATATCAAAGAAATAATTTAAATATTAAAATTTAAATTTATAATATTTTAAAAATATGTAAATAAATAAATTTCTATTATTAAATAAGAAATGAAAATTTCTTTACTAACAAATATTTTGATAGTAGAGTTCAAATTTTATTGTTGTTACATCTCATCATACGGTGGCTGATTGACTGTATGATCTCTTGAGCGCGAAGAAGAGTTGTAGCAAATTGAAGTTTGCATCAATTAGATGATGTTTGAAACAATTTGGATTTCAAAGCTATAATTGCTCTGAGAGATAAAAGTTTTTTTTTTTAGTTTGAATTTAATTTTCATCGATATCTTTCATCCATTGCGCAACAAGATTATTGTTTTGCACTTGTAGATTTATGTTTCAAGTAGATAGTGGAAATTTATCTTGCATCAAAGTGATTGTTGGTAATGTCACCGCTCAAATACCTAAATTTACAAAATGTGGTAATCTTGCATTTGTTGTCTCACAGTGTTTTTTCTTTAGATATAACGCGTGATAAATATGAAAAATTAGGCTTCGAGTCGTACCTAAAGATTAAAAGTTCTAATATATTTGTAAACATCGCTTTAGGTTACAAGCAAAGTAAATCTAAAGTAACTCTTGTTAGTTAAGGTTAGCTAAAGTTAAAGCTAAAACTTTAGCTACGGTTAGTTTTTAGACATTTTTGTTTTACTGAGGGAGTACAACTGGTACAGTAGTGACCTGTACTCCGAAAAATACACATGTAGTCATCTTAGTCTTATGACTAACTATGGTTAACAAGGCGCTGTTTAATCTTACACAAAACAAATAAATATACATTAGATAAAAGATATAAAAACAATTAAATAAATTTATTGAATAAATAATTCAAGATTACGCGACTAAAATAAATGCACAACTCTGAATTTATGTTTCATAAAACTATCCAGTATTTTTATGTTAATTTGTCATTTGATCATGCAAACCTAGTCTCAACAAACGTAAAAGCCTTGAACAAATCAATTTAATTGAGGTTTATAGATATCTAATGTTGGATTATCACAATAAGTATGAAACTTTAATTACTTCACTAAATTATGTTAAAGTGAACAAGAGATCAAATTTGACATAGGTGCTTGAACATAAGATGTAATGAATCTATTTTATTTGGACTAAAATGAATTGTATAAAAGTACAAGTTAACTTGAGATATATATCTTATCATATATATTTTGAATATCCAAATCTTCACATCTATATTTCTAACTTTATAAGGATTTTTTTCAATTTTTCTCATGTTAATTATATGTTATCAGTTATTGAGGTTTAAAAAGTTATACCCCTTGATAACGTCTAAGCGATCAAAATTTAAACATGGTATCTTTGTTTTATTTATTGAATAAAATCAATGGAAAAATGTGATATCCTAAAGTTGTTTTTTGTTATTTTTTATCATTTAATTTTATTTAAAATTTATTCAATTTTGGTATGACACGTGACTTTCAAAGTTTGGTGGAGCTGAATATATTTTTGTGCATGAAGAATGAATTTAAATTATATTTTGAAATTAAATCCAGATTTGAAAATATGTTTAAAGATTTAATAATATATTTTATTCATTAAATATGTATTGAAATTTAGATTTTATTTTGTCATAGGTATAAAAAAAATCTTTAAAAAATTATTAGTAAAATTTTCATAAAATCAAAATTTATTTTATTTCAAATACATTTTATTAATTTAGAGTTTTAATGTTCATTCTTGCTCAAATTCAAACAAATGTATTTACTCTTAGAATTTTATGAACAACAAGCACAACATTCATTAACCTTTACATTTTTCTTCCAATACTATCTTTGTCTAAAATCTAAGGTTCAAATCTTCAAACTTTGGATTGTTCATTGTCTCATAATGAACATAAAGTAACAAATCTAATTTTTGATTATGATTGAAGGATTTCACTAATTGTAAATCTTTCATTTTATTGTAAATGCAATTGAACCACAAGAACACTAATACGAGAATGCATCTTTTTGTATATAAGAAAAATGTTTTAGTTTTAATCATCCATGTTTCTTATATCTATTCAAGATAACACAAGTAAGTATACATCTTCTTGACGAATCTTATGACGGATTACAATAAAAAGATTACTCAAAAACATAATGTGTTAATACGTACTTTGATTATCAGTCGTGTGAATATGTATCGCCATACACTCTACATCGCTGACATGCTACTCACATACACAAACACACACACACATGGGACACAACAACGTTCACACTTAAATGTACCACAACTGAAATTAATGTGTTTTTCTCCACTGACGAACACGTCAGTCTTGATTACCCCATTGGCAACAAAAACCGTCACACATACATAATTTGAGCCCAACCCACTCTTCTTGATAATCCAAGTTGACGTTTGAGAACACTCACTCGTCACAACGCTACAAGCTCCACTCAAAGAAATGGCGTTCTTCGAATCGTCGTTGACTTTATACCCTATGTGAACAGTAATCCTAGCTCAATGGATAAATTTAATATATACAAAAATACATGTTAGCTGTCGTTTGAATATGTATCGCCATACACTTTACATCGCAGACATGCTACTCACATACACACACACAGGATACGTGAGCGTACACATTGAAATGTACCACAACTTGCCCCCATAGCTAGCGGTCAGGTCCCTCTAACTCCTAGGTAGCCTTATCTATAACTATATGTTATACACCTTCATGGGTGCGCAAACCAGTAGGCCGGATGCTATATCGCTCCATCGTTAGTAATCGCATATCTACAATTCATATCATGTGAAGATCAAGTTATCAACCCTCCTAAGTACATCTAGGACAAACCCATCGTCCAGCAGGAACAACATAGATAGATGGAGTGAGTCACAACATGTGCCATCCCCTAGAACACCTATCATACACCAACATACGGGCCGCCTGACCAACTGATCCACATAGCATGCACCTCAAGCCAACACATGCTATTGCTAAGCTTGGGTCTATATGATCATCCACGTTTGGGAGATGACATGGCGCACAATTGCGCATATGTCATATCACAAGTTATAGAATTTGGAAAGTCACAAATGGCATGTCACCATCTCAATCTAGGGATTCGTAAATATCTAGAAGGTTTAGGAGGCCAATGACATATTGCTACATATTGATAACTAGTCAACCTTACTATGGTTTATCTCTGTAAAAGTAAGTTAGATAGGAATTACCATTTGTTATTATGGTAATTTCACA